AGGGTGTGGCCCGAGGGTGTTTGGATGGCGCCCTCCGCATGGGACGGAGATAGGGGCCGGCGCCGACCTGACCGCGACCGGCTCCGACCCCGGCACGTCGATGTGTCTGCTCGGGCCGCGACGGGAGAGCCGTGCGATCAGTGACGCTGAAATGTAGGTCGATAGGACACTGCGGGAGATGTTTCAGATATATGATCGGTGCTGATCTCGTGTTGACGCCTCTCCATCCCAGCACGATCCGAGGTTCGAGCTATGGAGCCTGTGCGTCTGACGGTCCAGTGCCCCAGCCGTGGGGCGCGGGTCCAGCCGACCAGCCGTGACCTTACCGCCAGACCGGTCCCGCCATGTCTGTAAGGACCCCGGCTGTTCAATGTTCATACGATTACGTACAGTAATATCCATATTCGGCGGTGGACAGGCTGCCGGTCTTACATCGCTGGTCGTGCACGCTGATCTCGTGATGATCGAATCTCGTTATCTATCTGGTTGCGGTGAGTGACGTCCGTCGCTCATATTCACTCCCTTTTCCTCGTACAAACTGTAGTGCGGTGCCCTGACAGCGCTGATTTCCCGAGCTGTCGCTGGTGTGGGCCTCTGGAAGATCTCACTCTCAACCCCTTCATCCACCCGTCCCCGTCCCCGTCGATCTTCGCACGTGCCGGCCCCGACTCTGGCTGCTCCCCGTCACATAACTTCCGGCGGTGTGCATTGTTGTCGGTGAGGCCGGTCGTGGCGCACTGCCTATCAGAGGGGCTCGGCAGGCGCCGGTCAGGGTCACCGGGACATAGCCAGACCCGTACAACAGCCGTACGGACGGAGCGCGTACCGGCGCGGCGGCAGCCTCCCGGCGCCGAGTGACAGAACATGAAGTGGCCTTGTCGGCGGCCGAGTCGGCTGTCTCGGTGCGCCGATCGAGTCGTCTCCCTGTCGGATATCCGTGATAGGCCTGTCCGCTGTCAGTGTTCTGTCAGCGGGAGCGTGTGACTGGAGGCAGCGGACGGGACTGTGGCTGATAGGACCGTTTAGTGATGACAGAACTGCAGAGATGCGGCGCGATACCCGATATTGGTCCATTGGCACTTCTGCGCTAATAGCACGGCAGCCGTAACTTCTTAGAACTACAACCCTGATATTTGATACAAATCCGACGCTTACAGAAAAAGCTCGTATCAGAGCCTGCTTTAGTTCATTCCATGCCTCAGATATAAACTGCCAAAGTCGTTTTAGCTTGGAACTTTGATGGCAGTAGCTGCACCTTCCCAGCGAATATTGGCCTTATCTACCCGACCATCAATAGATCACCAAGAGACGTTTACGGGATCGATTGCTGCAACATTCTGGGGGCAAATTGCATACTTGATCAGAACTGTCGACGGCCAATGTGAGGCATCCCATTATTGCCGTCCCGTTAATGCGTATCTCTGTCTTAACGGGCCTTTCCCAGGCGGGGACCTTGGCCTTGGTCGTAGCTGTGGTGATAAAGGGTCGACAATGAGCTGGTAAGCCGCGGATTTGGGCGTGCATGTTCCGCCGGGTCTTCCCAACAATGTGGTTTGTGGATAAGAGACGAGTTAGAAAGGCGTGGGCGGGTACCCCGAAATTCGAACCAGCTCAGGAATGAAGAGTCTAAGATCTTATGCAATCTCGGTGCTGTGTCCGTGATTCCCACTTAACTTAATTTGGATGCCAGACACGTGTTCGGCTGTGCCCTTGAATGTCGTATATCAGTATATCTTGTGTTGACAGTGATAGTAGTTTTATGGTGCTCGTAACAATGAACATGCCAAGTCTCCATCCATATTTTTTAACTCGTCGCACTTTTCCAAACTAGATACTACTTACCTGCCTTGCATCAATTCTGAAATTATTATCCGCGTATGTGGGTCGTGGGACTGGGTCCATGGCTCCGTTTCTCCGCTCCGGTGTCCCGGGTGTTCCGGAACGGAGTCACTATCCGCGTTGTGAGTCTGGCTCCATGGATGGCGCTACTCCGGTATCTCGCAGAAATGGCGCACGTTGCGCAATGCGCACACCTGTTACAACACTTACCGGCTCCCAGAGTGAGTCAGCGTCGTGCGTGTCCGGCCGGTGCGGAGCCGACAGGACCCGTGTGGCTCTCCGCCGCTGTGGAGCCAGTGCGACCCGAGCGGCTCTGCATGACCTCAGGTAGCCCCCGGTCTGTGCGTTGTATGTATTGTTCGCAGACGAAGAACCTGGGATCGGACTTCCGCCAGTTCACACAGACGTCCTGTGTGAACTGGACTGTGCGAACTGGTGTCCTGTTGTGTCCGCTACTCTACACATTGAGCTGCCTCACCGGACCACATGTGATCCGGCGTCACTGACTCCAATTCTAGCCCCTCGATGTTGTCGTTCTCACCATTGGCACCGGTCTGTGTGGAAGTTGCGCTACTCGGAGCTCGTTCTGTCTGAATTTCGGCGGCTGCTGTAACTTCCTTCGCTGTCTGTCTGGTGCTGGTGGTAACTGGTGGTGTCTGGTGTCTTGAGCGGTGCGTGCTTCCATCTCTGAATAGCGCTGAGCCGTGGGACTCTTGCGGGGGCGTCGGCCCCACGACGCTCCCCTCAGCGGATGAATTCTCTGTCCCCGGACTGCAGAGGACATTTGCTCTGGACTGTGGGTCCCGTCTGCCCCGTACTGCAGGAGTCAACTGCCTGGACTGCGGAAGGACATCTGTTATGGACTGCATGACTCATCAGCTCCGGACTGCGGGACTCATCTGCCCCTGATGGCAGGACTCATCAGCCGCGCTGCAGAGGACACCTGCCGGCCCGGTCGGCAGAGGGCTAAGCCAGGGGCGGCCGACGTCCGGCGGCGATCAGTATGCGCGCGACGTCCGTCTGTCGGCGGGACGGGTTGTTTATGTCGCGGTCCAGCGGCGGTCAGGGTCAGTGTGTGAGCCGCCGGCGCTGACCCGTCCTCAGGGGGCAGCGGGTGGACGGTGCGGCTGCCGCACACACCGGGCGGCTGCTCCACACCCCGGGCGGCTGTCCCACACCCCGGGCGGCTGTCACACACCCCGGGCGGTGTCAGGGCGGTGCCGCCTGTCCGGTCAGAGGACGGCCGCCGAGCGCCTCGCCAGCTCTGTCCTCCCTGGAGTCAGCTCTGTCATTTCTGGAGTCTTCTGTGAGCGCCGTGACAGCTCCCTCCTCTTTGGAGTGTTCTTTGAGCGCCGCGGCAGCTCCGTCCTCTGGAGTGTTCGGTGAGCCCCGCTGGCCGTCGGCCAGTCCGCACGCCGTCCTTCGTCTGTGAGTGGCGGCCGTCACACAACATCCGCAGCCTCCTGTCCATCCGCAGCCTTCCGTCCGTCGCGCGCATGTCTGCGGCGCGGCGGCTGTCGGCTTTGAGCGCTCACAATAGACCGGCACAGAGCTGTGCCGCCCGCGGCGCCCCATTGTCTTAGTCGACAGGGTTATTCAATGGCGGTGGGTGGAGCTGCATTAGGGGAGAGTGGGGTAATTTGGCCGCTTTTTTTAGAAAACGATACAACTTAAAAACGACGACACATTTCTGCATTTTCTCAACGCTGGCAGGTGTCGCATTCATTTTACTTTACTGGACAGTGAACTTGAAATGATAGAGTAATTACTTATATTGAAATTGTGACGTATTACAAAGGTCTGCAAGGCGGCCAAATTGCCCCACTAGCAGGGTTATTTGGCCGGGGGTGTGGGGCAATTTGGCCGGTGTTAGTTTGCGGTCGGGATTTTCTGTTATATTGCGAGTCAGCTTCAGATTCAGCAATGACGTGTGTCCTATGACGCATTTGCCGCATTTTGGAGGTTGGCTCAGGGGTCACAGGGGGTCAAAATAGCCAAATTAGCGGCTCTAGATGCGATCACAGTTTTTTACGAATAACTTTTGAAGTAATCAAGCTAGGCCAAAACTTCGGGTACCATCGTAATTCTCTCGTCAGTCCGCATCGAAAGATATATGTGTTGACCTTGAGAAGTCAAGGTGTCACCGACGAAATGAACTGCCCTGTTGTTCTTCTCTTTCGTTTTACATTTGACAGCCACGCGTGATCTATCGCAGTACTGGTCATGCCCCGTGAGCCTGGACCAGCTCTTGTGTTAGTTTCTCGTCTCAAGTTCTAATTGCCTACAATTTGTCACTCGCGCTATCGCTTCACACTTGACGGCTGTTCGTGCTCGCCGCCGCCGTATCGTATAACCGAACGTGCCGCGCGAGCCTGCTCTGGCTCTTCTCACAGGTTTCTCGTTTCATATTCTAATTGCTTTTAGATGTACGACTGATTGTTCTTTGTGCCCGCGGCGGCTCCTCGAGTCGCTGCGGGCAGTCTCCACTTGAACGCCACCGGGTACAGTCCTCGGTGGCGGTGCGCGGCTCCGCCGGCGCCCCGATGTGCGCCGGTGTAGTGAACCCGTGACGGAATCGTGCGCGATTCCGACGGCACCCCCAGCGGGTTGCCAACGTGAACAGTGACGGAGTCGTGCCACCGAGCACGATTCCGAGGGCACCCCCGTTCGTGTGCCCAGTGAACGCCACTGAGCCCAGCTCAGTGGCAGTGCGCGAATTCGCCGGCGCCCCGACGAGCGCCGGCGTATTGCAGTGCAGTGAACGGCTCTGACGGCGCCCCGTCCGCGGCGGCGCCGATGTGTCATCTGAACTCTGAACAGTGAACTTCATCGACAGTGCTCACTGTGTTTTTCTCTGGTCCACCTGTCTACTCTGCGCTCCTCATTTCACCCTCGTCTACCGTTCGTCATCATCTATCGTCCGGATTTCTTCAATACATTCTTCAAAATTCATCGAAGTTTTTCCTCCGCTACAATAAATGTCCCGGCCCCCATCAGAGGCTCGTCAGGGTCGGCGACATTTAATGGTCCTCCGGGCCGGATCAGGCCAGAAGAAATCAGAAGCGGAGGAAACTTCATCGAAAATGGAAAAACAAGAAGGGAGACCGCAAAGTGAAGGCGCTGTCGGCGGAGTTCCTGTGACGATAGAAACTGAAGAAACCATGGAGGTTTCGACGCTGCAGCAGCCGCGCCCTGAGGTGAGTTCCAGTTCGTCAGCATCCCGCGCATCCGCTGAGGCTCAGCTCACGGCGCGAAAAAGGGCTCTGCATGTGAAACAGTTGGAAAAACGACTGGAGATGGAGCGACAGGAAGCGGAGCGAAAGCAGCAACAAGAAGAGAAGTTGAGGCGGCAGCAAGAGGAGTTGAAGCGTCATGAAGATGAAGTGAGAAGACGACGTGAGCTGCAAATCGCAAAAGATGAAATGGAACAAGCTGCACTAGAGGCACAATGGCGACAGCAGATGAATGATCGACGAAACGCCGGCAGAAGGGACGACTTCATGAAAGCTGAACGGGAAGGACAGCGAACGGTTACTACGAGACTCCCGCAGTCCGAAATATCATTCCACTGTCCTCTCCCTCTCCCTGCTAGCCCCGTCCCAGCTAGCCCTCAGATCAGCAGACCATCGTGGATCGACGAGTTACCCAAAGATAGGATACCGGCGTCAGAAAGTGTCCAGAAGTTGAAAGTTACGGACAGCCAGAAAGTGACAACCAGATGGATCTCCATCGCTACTGCCCAGGTACTTGGCATCTCATTCGACAACCAGCTACCCGCTGGGCCAGACCTGCTGAGCTCGGAAAAAGAACTCGCTAGCAACAAGAACCTGAAAGAGGTGACTCAAGAATCCTGCTCGAAAGAAGGACGCCTCCGAAAAGTGAACCCAGGTGAAACAGCTGAGGCAGCAAAATCCCTGCAGCATCCCTCAGCCAGAAAACCGAGCGAAGACCCGGAAATCCAGGTGATCTCCGACTCCGACGCTGCTGCCCAGGTGCTTGGCGCCTCGTGCAACAATCGACCACTCGCTGAGTCAGACATGCGGAAAAGTCAAACTGACGTCCCGCAACGATTCCAGGAAAGGGCTGTGGCCTGCGTAGCGGATATCCAGGAGACGGCTGATCAGAAACAGTTCATCCGACAAGAAAGAACGGCTCAAAACCGCCTCTCGCCTGACCTGAACGACGGACAAAAATCAGACCAGAACGAGAAGGAAGAAAACGTCTTCAAAACCGAATCGTGGCTGGCGTCCGCTGACCTTGTGCCGCAGAAAACAGTCACCGATCATGATGCAGATGCACAAGTCAAACTGAAGACAGAGACCACGAAAGCGCGACACGGCAGTGTCTGTATGGACGACGCCCATCAACCAGAACGAACCGTGTCAGAGGCCGCCAGAGCAGTAAGAAGAGATGGTCCCGATCTGCTCACAAAGGAAAACTTACGGCTCGAAAACCAGATGAACAACACGAGTGAAGTGCAAAGCAGCACACTATATGTGAGACAAGCACACCCCGATGCGGACTACGATGACACCTATCTCCCTGCGGAAGGAGCTCTGGGTGCTGTCTGGGACGAAGAGCGAGACTCGCCGAGTGCCCAGTTCCGAGACAGTAAGAAGCAGACGACCAGACGAGGAGCGCTCAGGAGAACTGCGGTTATCTTCGACCCCGTGAGGATCGCCGCTCCGTATCGGATCACGGTGCAGATCCTCAAGGAGAAACTCTGGATGCTACGACACATCCGGAGCCGATGGAAGAAAGAAAAAAATCCCAAAACCTGGCACATCGAAAGGACTCTGGTCCCTGGTTCGAGAACAGAGCTCCTGCCAGGACCGGACAGACGAGTGCGCGCTGTACGACTCGTCACTGCGAATGGAGCGACCCACACACGGCCGGTCACGTGGTCGCTGTCCTAGAAGAAGCAGCTCAGCTGTAGTGAACGGGTTTGTCGCCACATCATTCCCACATCCTGACAGCTGTACTTCGACCGTACTCCCACTGACCCACTGAGCCTGGCCTATAGACCATTTCTGAAACTTCATCTCGCCCTCCGTCCCGTGGAGCAGACACCAAACTCGCCGAGATTTATGTCTTTTCCCGTGTCCCCCTCTAGCCCGGCTCGCCACATGGACCGCTTTCCCCTCCCCCGTCCGCGCAGCCGGCCATTAGGCACGAGTGACATCTGGAGGTGGGGGAGCTCAGCTGAGTGGCGCGTGCCGCGCTGCCGGTTGACACTGACCTTGAGTACCGAGGGAAACTGAGGCGACGAAGGACCCTGCTGACCTACTGAGAGCAGCGACCGATCAGCTGACTGCTGGAAGGACAGCACATCAGCTATTCTGGAGAACGACAACCGAAACCGGCAACAGCCGTGTGAACACTCGCGTTGCGTTTCTGGTGTAGCCGAACACTGCGCACCGGAGACTGGCGTCAGAAGTGACAAAGTGACGCGACCAGTGGACTAATGTGCAGATGACCAGGGACGAGGTCTAGCGCAATGAACGATTGTGAAGGTGCCGAAAGTGTTTGCATTCGTTATGATTTAGTACTAAGTGATATAGGTAGTGTACCATAAATCTGTATAGGTGCTTGTGTAGTTTAGGAAGAACTCGCGAGAACCTGCGTAGCGAAGTCGTGAATCTCGTGGATGTACAGAATGTTCCGTCGGTGTTCAGTGGTTGTGTGATCTCCCGTCTTAAGTCGATCACAGGGGAGGAGTGTGTCACCGACGAAATGAACTGCCCTGTTGTTCTTCTCTTTCGTTTTACATTTGACAGCCACGCGTGATCTATCGCAGTACTGGTCATGCCCCGTGAGCCTGGACCAGCTCTTGTGTTAGTTTCTCGTCTCAAGTTCTAATTGCCTACAATTTGTCACTCGCGCTATCGCTTCACACTTGACGGCTGTTCGTGCTCGCCGCCGCCGTATCGTATAACCGAACGTGCCGCGCGAGCCTGCTCTGGCTCTTCTCACAGGTTTCTCGTTTCATATTCTAATTGCTTTTAGATGTACGACTGATTGTTCTTTGTGCCCGCGGCGGCTCCTCGAGTCGCTGCGGGCAGTCTCCACTTGAACGCCACCGGGTACAGTCCTCGGTGGCGGTGCGCGGCTCCGCCGGCGCCCCGATGTGCGCCGGTGTAGTGAACCCGTGACGGAATCGTGCGCGATTCCGACGGCACCCCCAGCGGGTTGCCAACGTGAACAGTGACGGAGTCGTGCCACCGAGCACGATTCCGAGGGCACCCCCGTTCGTGTGCCCAGTGAACGCCACTGAGCCCAGCTCAGTGGCAGTGCGCGAATTCGCCGGCGCCCCGACGAGCGCCGGCGTATTGCAGTGCAGTGAACGGCTCTGACGGCGCCCCGTCCGCGGCGGCGCCGATGTGTCATCTGAACTCTGAACAGTGAACTTCATCGACAGTGCTCACTGTGTTTTTCTCTGGTCCACCTGTCTACTCTGCGCTCCTCATTTCACCCTCGTCTACCGTTCGTCATCATCTATCGTCCGGATTTCTTCAATACATTCTTCAAAATTCATCGAAGTTTTTCCTCCGCTACAATAAATGTCCCGGCCCCCATCAGAGGCTCGTCAGGGTCGGCGACACAAGGTCAAAGGTTGACCTCAGGTCACGTTGTATCAGGTCGCTTGACCTCAAGGTCACGTGATTTCAAGGTCATCATGCATATCATTCGATGCGCCTTGGCGAGCTGAACAGGATGAGACCATTTGTGCGGCTGTACCATTTTTATGTAAGGATTTATTAGCAAAAAACCTTTGGTAACCTTTGATGACGTCACATGCTCTTACAGTTGACCAATCGGAAGTAAGGCATCAAAGTAGTCAAAGTTGGTCATGAATCATGTCATTTCTGGTACAATTGACCATGAAAACTCGGCCGTCCCAGCATAGTGACCATGAGCGCACCGGCCAAGTTGCCCCGCTAGTCCCGGCCAAATTACCCCATATTGCCATTCTGAAAATTTTTGTCTATAAAGTCATCGCGGCTTTACGGAATTGATAAAATTGCTCTTGGAACCGCTGAACACCCCCAAGAATGGCGCTATAATGTCTGAATTCGTTTTTAGCCCAAATACTACATGTTATACAACTTTATAAACAGAAGTAAAAGTTACCATTTTCTAATGAAATTAACGTTTTATTAATTTTGAATAAAACTACGAGGGGCAAAGTTTTGACATTTGTCCTCCAGTTATTTCTACCCATGACAAATGAATAGAGACTAGAGTTATTTCACTCACTTTTATTAGACATCGTGCAGGTGGGGGCGGCCAATTTACACCACCGGCCAAATTACCCCACTCTCCCCTACTTGGGATACTGAAAAACTGAAGGCCAGCGCCTGCCGCATGTTTTGAAGGGTCAAGCGAGGCATTGATTCTTTATGCAAGAAAGAAAACACTTTAAGCCAGCTGCTGTTTGTTATAGTGTTTCAACGCTTATTTATCGGGTATGGCCGAGTCCACCGGCGGACCAAAGAGGGCCCCAGCCCTATCAGAGCGTCTGGCCTGGGACGGCTGGGCTGAGCGGGGCCCGCGGCGTCTCGACAGGGACGGCTGGACCGCGGGCCCGGGCCGATCACTGGTTCCTCCCGGGCGACCACTGGCTCCCAGCGTCCGACCCAGCTGCGGCCGTATCCGGCGCGTGGGGTGAAGTAGTGAGGAGTCCCATCAGAGCGCGAGGTCACTCCGGTGGATCGGGCCGGTGCGACGCTGCAGCGGCGTTGGGCAACATGACCTGGGCGTGATGCGGCCATCCGCCGGGGCGCTGCCTTCTAGGGGCTGACGCGCTAAAGACGGCATTCACGGCTCGAATGTGACACGCCGGGGTGTCGTTTGCTTGTGTGGCAGATGTGGACCGGCGGGCGGTGCCGTTTGTTTGGGTGTCAGCGGCGCCGTTGTAGTGTGGTGTGAGTGATGACGCCGGGTGTACCGTGTTGCAGCGGTCCGGTATTGTGATGCGGCCGGTCCGTGGACGGTGTGGGCGGTGTGACCCGGCCGAGGCCAGACACCTGTCACGGCTCTGTGAGCCGCTCTGTGCCGTGTCGGGTCACCCCACCACCCGGTCTGGTGTGTAATGTCGCTCATTGCCGCGTCATTCGGCCAGTAACGCTGCACCACGGGGGCCCGGTCCACCGTGATGACGCTGTGGCATTGATAAACTGATGGAAATCCAGGTCAC